CTAAACAACATAGCCAAGGCACAAATAATAAATAGATGCAAATAAAGGATCAGTGGGATATCTATCGAACACAGAGGACTGAAGATAAACTACTGAAAGTATTGCAGTAGATTAAAAGTGACCAATGGTGCTCGACGACGACAGATGATTTGGTAGACCAGTTCAGTCTTCTCCAAAAGAGCTACTTCTGATTGGAGGAACTTGTGATTGAACACAGGAGCGAACCTCTCTCCATCCTATTCTCCTTCAATGTGAAGCTGAGCAAACTTCCATAGATTTTACTCAGGGTAGATGCTTATCGACGATCTCCCAACCTTGGATAGACTTGCTTCGCAAACCACAATTACTCTTGGTTACTGAAGACTTTGCTTGGTGAAGACAATTACTCTTTGACACTCAAGCCGACACTTATCAATCTAGAGAGTGTGCAACTCTCAAGAGTAATAGGTATAAGAAGTCTCAACTCATATCTACTCTGATGCTCAATCACTATCTAAATTTTGGTTCTTGATTTTCTCTTAGTGGATCTTTTTTTGAGAATCCTCTTAGTGGATCTTAAACTCAAAGAGGGGGTGCTCGAAACAATCTTCTCGGAATCTCAAGCGGAGCAACCCACTAAAAATGTTGGAGCGGGTGGCTATTTATAGATGCAACCTTCCTGGATGGGAAATGCACATGTAGGACATGCGGTCCGGCCAATGGCCAACTGACACGTCTTCCAACAGGAGGATTTTGAGCACACATCAAATTTACTTGAGGAACAAGTAAAGCTGACTCCTCGGTCCGAAACATATCTCTCGCAGTTCAGAAGAACAACGTCTCTGGCTCGCAAGTAAAGTTTTGAAGCACAAAGAGATTTCTCTCAGTCTCACATAGGATTCGGCTAAGCATCACAATAGACTTAAGTCTCTAATACCTATACCCAACTTAATAGTATGGTGATCATATGTCTCAAATAAGAGAAAGAACACCGAAACAAATACTATGCCTTCTCTTCGCCTTCAGTCTTCTCGACTACAGTCATTTCTTCTTGGACCCATTGGGGAACAATTGTTTTACTTCAGTAATATTTTAAGGGGCCAATTCCGTCACACAATCTTCTCGGTGTGGTTTCTTCTCGAAACTTAACTCTCTCTCTCTCTCTCTCTCTCTCTCTCTCTCTCTCTCTTCTATGCAACGCAAATACTTTGCGGTGAAGTTCTTCAAACTTCTCGTCAGAATGTAGCATTCTTCTCGATACGTCAGGGACTATTTCTCTCTGTGTGCACTAGCAAACAAATCGGCCCCTTATTGTTTCTGACAACAATCTCCAAAACCCAAGGAGGCAAGACATTGCACCAACACATGGTGATAAAAAGAAAGCATGTTTCTCCTCACCTCTCCTTCCACTCCACTTTATTCTTTCCACCCTTCATTGCTTTACCAATTGCCATCTCGCATTACCATCACTTGCACACCTTTTTCAATAGTAGCAAATCAAATAATGGTTAAAGCCACTAGTGAAACTCGTGTTATACTTTGTAAATATGTGTGGAGCTTGTGGTTTTCCCATGTGTGATTTTTTTAACTATAAGGGGCTTCTCCCCAAATTTCATTTACTGAAAATTGAATAAAACATACAACCGGACCGCAATATCAATTGTAAATGAGTAAGTTGAAGTTTCTCATGACTCTCTTGAAGTTTGGTGAGCTCCCCTACCTTAGCTTTGAAAGACATGGCATAGACAGCAAACCAGAGAGAGAGAGAGAGATGCATAAGCTACTATGACTTTGCTCTTGGAAATAGTTAGCTCTTGACAAGTTTTAGTTGTCTCTTGTTCTAGTTATTATTCTACCGCGTGTTAATTCTTGTTCACCCGATCTAGCAATATTTCCACTTTCACCCCGTTTTTTCTTGGGATATAAAATAACTTGTAGACACGTTCTGATAAACCTTTATAAGAGACAAATTTCTAAGCTCTTTGTAGGATCGATGCTCGCAGGATATCAAGAAGCGCGAGAAGTGAAGGACCATGTGGTGCTTGTCCATCAAGGGGCATGCCACACTGACCTACAAGATCCATTGTCCACCAAAATTAGGTCTCGAAGTCATGATCCATGGCGTCGCCGACACCAAGCATCGAGTGTAAATCACACCGAGTTGCGAAGCCATTGTCTAACAATGTGGAAGGGCTAGGACAAAGGGCTGAGTTTGTCTGATTCTTGCCGGTGGCGATGGAGATGATGGTGGTTGGGGATGGCTGGTGCGTAGAGGGACAGGGCGGGGGAGGATGAGCCATCCAATGAGAAGGCAGTTTTGAGAGTTGTTGATTGGTATGGTGGTCAGTTTAGTGGTCGTTTGGCATACATTAAGTGATGCAAACCTTACCAGATTGCAATAAAAATGAAGGACAAACAGAAAAAGACAAAATCTGCACTTGGCGAATATAGATTCTAAGTACACAATGACCACCACCATGAAGATGATTCTAAGTAGAGTACTAAGGAGTGCCACTTACATTGTCCAAGGGCATGACAGATCATGGCATAATTATAATATCACATGTTTACTCAGTGACCATCCCCTAGCTGGCTCTATCATGAGTAGATGTAGGTAACGTAATGTTGTCAGCATTGCCGAAGGGTTGTACCCCACTCAAACAACATTGCATACACATCCCTCACTGGCTAGACTCGTGCCATCACTTCAAGGTGTCCTGCCAACACCATTGAAGGGCTTTGCGAAACCAAGATTTCACCAAAAGCGTGAACTTCACCACGAGGTCCGCATAGGAACACCACATTATAGATGACCATCACCATCCAACAAAGTCAAACATGTGCCGTAAATAAAGGGCTCATGTCAAAGGCCATATGACTCTCGCAAGGGGTACAAAAATGAAAAATTTGTGGTTTCATGTGTGTTGTTGCCAAACACCCATCAACACCCTCAAGGAGTGCAACCAATGATAGGGGATATGAGTTGATTTGTGACGCCTTCAGAAAGGGAAGCAACGCCCATGGGCTACATCATAGCCGAGCTTACGCTCGGACGCACACCCTCTATCTTGAGCAGTTATGGGTACGGGGTTAGCATCAAAAGAGCCCTTAGCATGAAGAAACCTGACTGGAGCACATCCGAAGTTAGGAGGGCGATGAAGCGTTGTGATGATGACTTTAGGAAGTATGCAACACCCCGTGCATCGTCACCATGAAGACAGTTTGAGCCTTCAACATAACACCTCCCCATCCCTCATATTCGAGCATCAACAACAACCGACAGTCACCGCCACACTCTTTGCACACTGCGCAACACCACGAGTCGTGCACATAGTGCATGTCACTGGTCTTTTGTTATGGCTTCCGCTTCTCTTCGTGCCCACATATGGTTGGTGAACCTCGGCACAGTTCTTCGACCGTAATGCGTATCAAGCTCAATCGATCTTCGCCGAATTTGGCCCATGAGGCCATCGTACCCCCAGCCATCAAACAGAATGCCCCACTGTCGCCACAGGCCAGTGGTTGATGGGTGCGCCTCAATGCCGTCTAGGGCTACCTAGAAACAGCTAGGTTTCAACAAGGTGGTTTCAAATGAATGCGTTATGCAACCACCAGACGCCATCTACTTCCAATTACTATGTGATTCAATAAATATGACCACGACATCTACTTTCATTCCTACAACTGCGTTTTGCAAGTGAAACAAAATGGAACTTCGTTTTGCAAGTCGAACCAAAATGGGGCCCTTTCTCCCGGCACCACCGTTTCTCTAGAAGAACCAAAATGGGGCCCTCTCCTAAAAAAAACTGTCCTGTCCCCGTTGGGGAACGCGCCGCACCCGCAGCTGGAGATCCCTCCCACCCAGTCCCGGTCCCGGCTCACGAGTCCGCCGCCCCGCCCGCCGAATCCGCCGCCCTCCCTCCCCTCGCCAGCGCCGGAGAAGGGCCGTCCACACCTCCTCCCTCTCCGCCCACCGAACCCGCGACGCCTCCCCTCCCGTCCACTCTCCACCGCACAGGCGATCCGCCTTGGCCGCCGATCTCCTCGCTGGTATGGAATGGAAGCCCTGACGCAGCTCCCTCGGGTTTCCGAGAGCCTCGTGTTTGATTGCTCTCCTCGATACCGCATTTCGCCCCGTCGATCAGTCGGGGGTCTGATTTGGTTGTGTTAGTGGCAGCTCGTTTCCCCCAAAATTTCAGACGGATTAAACTGTACACGGTCCACTTTGGGTCCGCTACTGGGTTCTGCCGATTAGTGGGAGATTCTGCTGAATTTGGTTCTGTTCTAGTGGCCCTAGTAACGTTGACGCACAGTTAGTTGACCTTGGATAGTCTCGTCGCAAGTCGTGGGGAAATTGATAGCTGGAGTGTGTGTACTTAGATACTTTTCAACTAAGAAATTCCGAGAGTTCCTGGGTTCTAACTTGCAATAGTGCAGAAATGTTTTCTGTTTGTTGTACGGAAAGTTATTTACAAACCTATGGGAGCTCTTCCACATCAGATAGTACGTATGTTTTTAATTTGGTGCCATAGCTGGGAATACTCAGTAAGGATTATCCTGTTTTCCAGTTTAATTCTTCAGACATGTTCTGATTACTTTTCTAATACCACAAGCTGACATGATTTTTTCTGGCCATAACTGTACGCATATCTCCTCTCCCCTGGTCCATTTCCTGGTTGCTAGAGACACATTATTTGTAATTGTTGAAAGCTTTTCTGTCTGCAGCATGGAAATACTATTGAACAGTTAGAAAACTGACAGGAGTTAAACATCAAAAGATAAGGACTGTCATGTTTTGCAGTTTAATTCTTAATGCATGGTCTGATTGTTTACTTTTCTTATATCTCACGTCGTCATAAATTTGCTCCGATAACCGTATGCGGATTTGTTTTCCTGTTAGTTCCATTTCCTTCTTGTTACTTTGTTAGAGACACCTGCTTTGCAATTGCTGGTTGAGCTGATGGTAGTGCTAGAGGCAGATGGCAGGGCTCGTGATCTGATTCTGCTCGTGCTTTGTAGGAATGGCCAATTTTACTAAAAACTTCCAGTCTTCAAGCAAACCAGATGGTGAAAAGAAATACCAGGGTACATTGGTTGCTTCTCCAGCAAAGGCCATTTCACCAAAGACAATAAAGCATATTGTGCCAAAACAATTGACCTTGAGCAGGGAGTCAACAGGTCATGTGGCGTCGTTTTTGGTAAAGGTTATTGCTCTTGAGGTAGTGAGGAGGATTTCTAAAGCAAAATGTCCTTTTGTATGGAATTCTATTCAAGCACTGCAAGTTCTTGGATATCCTCCATTTAGGTGGATTCAAAGATGGGCACCACTCAAATTTGTTGTGCAAGGCATTCAGGTAATTTTATTCCTTAGCTCTTCAAGGCCTTGGATCTCTTGAAATGTCTGAGCTGCACATTCTTTTTTTGTTACAAAATTATATGTGCTTTTGTAAGTTGTGACCTACATTAATATTGTGTTAGCTCCTCTATGTGCATGAAGATAATTGAAAGAATCGTTCTCTTGCTGTTATTCTTTTATCTAGAAGACCAGGGATAAGTTGACTATGCTCTGTTATACTCCAGCACTGTAACTATACTTGCAAGTTGCAAGCATAATATGCTTCATAATTTGTGACAAATATAACTATGCGCCGTACTCACCTTAGTCCCCTGGTTTAGTCCACCCAATGGATTTAACGCATGTGTATCTGTAACTAGCTGAGGGGCCATGTGTAGCTACGGAAGTAAAAAGAAATCCAATCTGGTGGGAAACCCAATGATATCAAAGCTAGCCTAGGCTTAGGGAAAAGCCAGACAATTTGCAGATAGAAAAACTGTATAAAGAATCATATGTATTACTCCCTCCGTCCGAAAAAGCTTTTTCGGAAGGAGGGAGTACATATTTAAACCCCCAAAACAAGATTGTGGAGATCATGGAGATGGTCCTACTTGTCAACAAGTTGCTTCTGGTGGAGAGGATCACAACCAGCAGAGCTATTTGAATTAGCTCTACCATCACAATCAGTTCTTATATTTATATGAATAAATGGTGTTTTCTTTACCGGATTTTGAGTCTAACAAAGAGCTATAACCGTGCTAGGCTCAGGCTCACTCAACCCTCAGTGGAAAATACTGACTTATGAGTTGGCATAGATTTTATTTTGGCTTAGCTTTTGTTTGGCTCCTTATTCTGCAGACTAAGCTTCTTGAGGTGTGTGCTGGATTAAGACTTGGAGAGAGATGAAGAAACTATAAACATGTCTGTAGTTTCCTTTCCAATATATTTTAGCACTAACCCTGATAATATATATTACTCCCTCCATCCCACAATATAAGATTGTTTTTCAAGCTAATAGCTTGGAAAACGATCTTATATTGTGGGACGGAGGGACTATGTACTAAGTTACTGTAGAGCATCTCATTCAATTCATGTGATGCTGTGCTCATGTATGCTCAGTTACCTATTTGAATTCTCTTGAATGTATTTTTGTCGTTTTAAGCTTTGTTGAATTGCCGAGTAGGAGTATAACACATTGTTCTATGATGTTTCAAATCCTCTGGTATATTTTTTTGTGGTTCTATAATGCTTTGTTAAATTGGCTATTATGACACATCTGCTTTATGCTGTTTCTCAAATAGTATTTGTTTTAATGATAATATATTTATGTTTTCATTGCTTCTGAGCGCTGATGATTTTTCTCCAAATGCAGAAATTATCCACTCCACTGCTGTTCCTATCTGTCACATCTGCACTAGGTGATCTTTCATCTAAGAGCGATGAAACTGATGATGGACCTAGTAGCACTACAGGAGCTCCTGACCTTCCTGCCGAATCAAATGAAACATCATCGATTTCTGATACAAGGTTGGTTAAGACTTCAGGAAGAAACACAATAAGTAGCTTTAAAAAACACAATAGCATATTTTCTCAAACCGTTCCATTTAAATTTGATCACATCTAACTGCAATATCAAGAAGAGGGTACAGAAAGAAATGTCTTTTTATATTTCCTCCCATATACTGTATATTGGAGCTGGTGGTAATAGGATGAATGCCATGGCATTACTCCTCCACCAGAAGTAACTTGCTGACAAGTGGAACCTCTCCATCATCCCTGCCATCTTGTTTTGGATTATTTTGTTTTTCTAATATGACTATCTGTCTATCTCTGCCATCTTGCAATATGACTATTTTGTTTTTGTAATATGACTATGGCTCGAACTAGTATGGAGATTGATCCGCCACAAGATTGAATTTATTTTGTTACTTCTGTAGCGATGCACATGCATTCAGCTAATGTTTGATGATGGTGGTGGTTTCTTTGTTTAGGGAGGCCACTGATGGGGATGGTACAAAGGATATTGTTGTTTCTGAGAATTGGCTGGTGCTACTTTTCAAGGAACTTGAAAAACAAGGAATCACTTTGCCTGAGAGGTGGGCTTGTACTAGGCTATTTGCTATTCATATTAAGTAATACTACCTCTGCCTGGAATTACTTGTCGCTCAAATCGATGTATCTAGCACTGAAATACGTCCAAATACACCCATTTTAGCGAGGGAGTACATATTTTGCACGTCAATCCTAACCTACCACCACAAGGTGTGCGGGGGTGGGGGTGGGGGGAGCAACGATATTTCTTTTGCACTTTTGAATATTTTAACTTGCAAGATATTGATAAAAATCTTGGTTATGTAACGGTTATTGTCTATGTTATCTTATGTCCAGTCATGAGTTTTACCTCTCAAGAAAAATCTATGTTATCCAAGCCCCTTTTACTGTATCCTAAGTAGCTTGTTGGCGGGTATTTGGAGGGGAAAATAATATATTATGTTTTGACATGATGTTCAAACCTTTCTTTTGTTACATTCTGTTATATTTGGAGTTGCATGTTTCTATATCAGAAGACTAGTTACATGTTGTGGTGCTGGCAAGCATAGAAAGGATCTTACTGGCGTGCAGCGCGATGCCATATGGCTGAATAGTTTATCTGGTGTATGTTTCAGGTTCAGTGAGGATGAACTACGCAGATTCCACATGGCAGCAAATGGTGACCTTTCAATCTTGGTCTCTTCAGTTAAGAAGACAATCCGTTGGAGGGAAACTTTTCACATACTTACATTGCAAGAACTTGAGAAATGGTCCCATTTGGTCTTTTGGCATGGGTTTGACACTACACTTCGGCCTTGCTTAGTAATCCGTCTTGGACTCGCGTGCTCTAGCATAGCCCCTCGTGATAGACCTTGTTTTGGGCAAGCAGTAGGTAATTTTTCAACCTGTTTTATCTGACTATCAATTTGTTCCATAGTTATTTTCCTTGTAATAGTCCATCATCAGTTAGAGCTTGGTAAGATGGGAATGGATTTCTTGCTTACACTTTGCGATAGACCTTATTTTTCTATCATGCGGTCCATTGGTCCACTGTTACTTAATCTGACAGAAAACATAATTTCTCTTTCAGCAATTATTTGTTTAGTTGTTCTTATCATTTACTAGAAGTTAGTTAGTTTTCTGGTTTACTTGCCACTTCAGAGTCATTTTCCTTCCTGTTTTGAGGTTGCAGTAGTGGCCACTAATCACTAACATCTTTCTGTCCAGTTTCTCAGATTGACCATGGTATTATACATTTGACCAACGAAGAAGATCCAAGAATTACTGTTTTGCTGGATTGCCACGGGATTTCTCCATTCAAATTTCCGATGCAAATGATGAGGTCGTTTGTCAACTTGGTTCAAGAAAACTACCCAAATCGTCTTGGAGTATTAATTGTTGTCCGTCTTCCTCCAGTTGTCAGAGTTATTGCACAGACTTTTATTCAAGTAAGATTACTATCTTTGCCCCATTACTCAATGCACACGATTCACATTTGTATAGCTGGCATCCTTGTCATTCTTTCTGTCTATCAATCATGTAATATACAAACCTCCATCATCAGCTACATCTGTTTTATGTAGATAATGACCATGTCTTCATGATCTTGTTTGGTTAGTCTGTTGTGATATTAATGTACATGACTGCTAAAATTTGCAGGTCTAACCACCTGTCTCAGTATTAGGTTTAGTGCCAAAATTTGCCTGTCGCACTCTTCTATTGGTTTTTGTTACGGCCTCTCCCATATTAAAATTATGTCATGCATTTTTCATACAAAACAGGAAAGTCTGGATGAAAGCCTGAATGAGCATTATTAATTATTTTGAGATGATCTAATAAGCAACTATGGTACTTACTATTCCCTTTTCAATCCTGAGCAGCTCCTGAAACCATCCACAAAGCAGAAGCTGCGTTTTGAGGGGGAATCATACAAAAAGACGTTAGCTGAGTTCTTACAGATAGTGCCAGCTTTTCTTGGTGGCAAATGCAACTGCTCACGATGCAAGAAGCCTCGCGACAGTTCACTAATCCAGGCAGGGGAGGGGAGCAGGAGCAGGAGCCTTACCAGCGCCGGCTCCAGATCACGAGTCTCGGACATGGACTTCGACGAGGAACTGGAGGAGCTTCCATCCCCTTACAACTGCGAGAACGCGATAAGGGCTGCGGTGGTCGGCCTCCTGATGGTGTGGATCTTTGTCGCGTTTCTCGCTGGGATGAATGACCCCCAGTCCATGTCTTAGCCTCCCGGGTCTCTGTCACCCGACGGTTCATTGTCTGCCAGTGCCAGTAGCATAGCGTTACTGTATGTTGTTTCTTTGAGGCTGACGGTATGTTGTTTCTTGCACCAGTTCTTCTTCCGAATTTCCTCTGCAAGCCGGCGTATAGTGTCGTGCTGTGCCGGCCGCAAGATTTATATAGTAGATATGAATAAAGTTGTGCGTGTATTCAGCATGGTTCACTCGCAGTGTGATAGGTGCTACTATCACCACCCTTTTCGGCGGTTGTTGCTAGGTGTAGTTTGCCAATGTAATTTTGTACTTCAAGAGTAAAACAGAGGATTGTAAAACCACTGGATTTGTAGAATTGTGGTGTTGAATGGAGTACAAGATTGCTGTTGCTGCTAGCTAATGCGCAACCATTCTCATAGCCTTTTCAATATTACAGTATAAACATAAGAATATGATAAGATTCCATAAGCAGAACAGAGGATTGTAAAACCAGTGGATTTGTAGAATTCTGTGTTTGATTTGCTAGGAAAAACAAAAGAATCATATAAAACAGTCAAATTAAGGCTAAAGCATATGCAAAAGATAAGATTAAATTAATACCATGTTAGTTATGGTCTTTATGCATAGGAATGTAAAAGAAAGAGGTTGGAGTTGATTGTAAAGTTTGTTTGACTCAAATCAAAGGATTTTTCTTTTTACATTCTTCCTATGGCCAATTCATATGAATCAAGTGGATGAATAGTGTAATCATAGGTAAATTTCCTGCTCCTATATTATTTCTTTACTTTTTCTACGAGTCAAGGAGGCCCTTTGTCGGGGGTGGCAAAGGTAACCAGCACTAGCTCCAACATGACAAGCTGCAGCAGGACAGTTGCCACAGGGAGAATATCAGGTGCTCCCGGAGCACCTAAGCTTAGCATTACTAGTAGAACCCTCGAACCCTCACTAGCGTTTTAACGGTCCAAAAATGATCTTTTTGTGCACTTTTTACGGGTTGAAAAACAGGGGCAAAGATTAAAACCCTCAAACCTAACCCTTATAACGGAATATTCCCCATGAACGACGTTGTCGTTGCGCGCGGGAGGTCGACGGGGCGGCCGCCGGCGACGGGGGCGACTAGCAGCGGCGGTCGCGGGCGTGGGCACGGGAGTTGGGAGGATTTTTTCCTCCCGCGCGAGTATAACCGCCAAATGAGGGTTGGGGTAGGTTTTGCTCCCCAACCCTTACTTTTGAGGATTGGGAGAGGGTTTGAGGGTTGGACCTTTAAAAAAATTTGAGGGTTTGAGGGTTAAGGGGTTTTAGTCTACGGCATTTTTCGACGAAAACTGTAAAAAAGCAGTTATTTTTTAGGGGTTTGAGGGTTTTGGGGCTTTACTAGTAATGCTCTTAGGTGCTCCGGTGCGACCTCGGCCGTTGGATTGTGATTCAATGGGCAGCATCATGAGGATGTGGACCAAAGCATCATTTCAGGAATGTTCGAGGCGTTTTCTGCAAAACATTCATGCTAGATCTGTCTTTTTTGTATCTCAATGTGTATCCCGCTATACCTTTTTTTCTTTTTGTTATGGCCAAAATTGTCATGTTTAGGTGGATGTCATTTTTCTCTTTGACAACTCTAGTTTATTTTGGTTTTTAGTATTGGCAACTCATGAGTAATCTAAAGCTTGACCAAAATGTTGACAAGTCAAATATTTGGTAGCTTGCGGTTTGAGCTTGGGCTAATTCCAAACGGGTTGGTATACAGTACTGCAGAGGATCCCAACCCATTCCAAACATATGATGCTTGTTGACCTAAAAGGAAGGGATACAAGAGGTCTACAGATCTTGGTGAGCAACTCTTTACCCAATCTTACTCGTGCTACAGCTCCAATGCATATGTATTTCCTCTGTTATTAATATCTCTCCGTATCAAAATATAATACCTTTTCTTGAAGATATTTTTTTGGACTTTGAATTGGTCAAAGTCTAAAAGACGTCTTATATTAATGAATAGATTGGGTATTATTTATTTGATATTTTTTTGAAGGAAATGTAATGTAATTGAGTTTTTTTGTGTGTGCCGTCATCTCTTGTCCACCAAGAGTGAAATTAGGGTGTGTGCCCACACCATAGTAATACTAATATGTGTTTATGGTGGATTTTTAGGGTTCACTTCTGTCTTACCTGGTTCACAAATTTGAATTTTGTGTTTCAATCTTATCATTAAAAAGTCTGCCAATATTTGATACATCTCCAACGTATTTACTTTTTCAAATACTTTTGCTATTATTTTGACCTCTAATTTTGTATCATTTAAATAAAACTAATCCGAACTGACGTTGTTTTCAGTAGAACTAGCATTGATGTTGTTTTGTGCAGAAATAAAAGTGCTTGAAATTGGACAGCGGATTTTTTAAGAATTATTTTAGAAATAAAGAATTATGGAGCGAAAAAGTACTAGAGGGGGCCACAGCCTGGTGGCGAGCCACCCTCCATGGCGCGCCATCTAGCCGTGTGGGGCCCCTGGGCGCCGCCATAAATTCCCATATATACCCAAAAAAGTCACAAAAAATTAGAGCAACTTCAATGGGGCGACCCATTTCGTCCGCCCGCGTCCGTTTGGGTCGACGTGGACAAAAGTGGCGGCCCAATGCACCGACCCAAACTCAAATCGTGTTCGCCCGGCGTTCGCGCCGACCCATTTCCGGCCCAAAATTACGCCTGGAACGCGTCGGCGCGGACGCGAAGCGGACGCGCCGCGCGTCTCCTCGCCGTCCGCCGCGTCCCCACCCGGCGGCCACCCAACCGCCACCGGTCTCTTATTTATGACGACCACCGACAGCGGGCCCACGCGTCAGCAGTGCGCGCGTCCTTTTTAAACCACGCGTGCGGCGGGGTCGGCCTCATCCACTTCTCCCGTCCACATCTGGCCCCCCACCACTTCCTTTGCTTCCTCGCCGGCGACCACAAACCCTAGAGCGCGCCATGGGCCTCTTCGGCAAAAGCAATGGCAAGGGGAAGGGCACCCCCGACGCCTCGTCATCCCGTGCTCCCCCTCCCCCTCCACCGCCGACGCGTTTCCGCCCTGGACGCCGGTGCCTGCACATCTCGGTGCACCAAGCGCGGTGGCACTGGGAGTACAGGCAGCCCCTTCCCTACCCCGACATGACGCTGCCGCACCATTGGCATTTGGATCCAAACCGGATCCCGGTGTCGGCGGTTCCGTGGACCCAGCGGGCGCACGACGACGAGGTGCGTCGGCGTCGCGCGCTGCTCACACCGGAGCAGCGTCGGCTGCCCGAGTACGCCGCCGACTCTCCTAACTGGGAGGCTTGGTTCGCCCTCGAACACGAGGAGCAACGTCGCTCGGGTGTCGACGTCGTCCCGCCGCCGTTCCCACCGCCGCCCCCGCAGGTAGAGCCGGAGGACATGGAGGCGGAGGCGGAGTACCAAGCCGCCCTCGAGGAGGCCCTGCAGCACGCGCTGGAGGCTAGCCGCATCGAGGAGGACGCGCACTGGGATGGGCTGGAGCAAGCCCTTGCCCTGTCGGCGGCGGGGGACTCCGTCCACACCCCGCTCTTCGTGCCGCCGCCTCCGCCGTCGCCGCCCGTATAGTCGGAGCCGGAGCCGTCGCGTAAGCGCTCCCCACCTCCACCCATTTGGCCGGAGAAGGCCTACTCGTGGACGGGCCAGTACCGCGAGTGGGTGAGCGCGCCTCCCGTCTACTTCGCAGCGACACCGGAGGAAGAGGCGGCCCACCTCGAGCGATGGAAGGAGCACTGGCTCCGCCAGGAGCAGGGCGACGACGAGGAGCAGATGCGCTACGAGGCCATGCTCCAACGCGACGCGGAGGCGCTCCGGCTCGAGGAGGAGGAGGAGGAGCGCGCGCGGCTTGCCGCAATGCCGCCGCCCCAGCAGACGCCGGAGGAGGCTGCCCTGGCAGCGTACCAGGCGGCGTTCTGGTGGGTTGGCCCTGCTCCAGTCTTCATCGACCTCACCGACGACGGCGACGTCGAGGGCAAGGGCAAGGGCAAGGCCGACGACGTTTAGGGCAGCGTGCGGGGCGGCAGCAGGCGGGGGCAGACTTTTTTAATGTTTTTATTTAATGTTTATTAGATGTAGGTGGACTTTGGCCGGCGTTTGACCGGCCACTTTTATGTTTAATTGCGTTTATTTCGTGCAACTTGTTTTTTTTCCATGCCGTCACATTTGGGTCGGCCTCCCCGTTGGACGGTCAAGCCGACCCATTTTAAAATGCGGACACCGGTGTCCGCCTGGCCGACCCAAACGGACAAAAGGCGGACAAAGCACGCGTTCGATTGGGTTGCCCCGTTGGAGTTGCTCTTATCACCGTGTTTTATCGTACGGAGCCGCTGTCACCTCTTGTTCTTCATCGGGAGACCTAATATGGAGTCTGTCTCTGGCTTCAGAGAGAGGGATTCGTCGTCGTCTCATCACCAACCCTTCTCCATCAACAATTTCATGGTGCTCACATCCATGTGTGAGTAATTATTCTATATGCATACTGAGGTAGATGGGATTTGGATGAGTTTTCTTATGTAATCATTTTCATTTTTGTTAGAGCTTGATCCCTAGTATCCATTATGTTCTGAGATTAATGTTGCTATGACTTCACTATGCTTAATGCTTGTCACTACGGCTTGAATGCCATGATTTCAGATCTGAATCCTTTATGTTTTCTTAAATATATTAATGGCCTTGATCTTATTTGCATGTCACCTGTTATCGTTCTGAACTCTAAACCCAAGGTGACAATAACTTGGATATCGACGCGAATGACTTTAACTTGAGGATTAATGTATTCATCATGTGTTAATGCTTTATCCCGATTCTTTATTAAAAAAAGTGCATTAACTACTCTTAGTTTCTATTAAGACACCGCTACCACAGGGGGGTAGAACAGACAACGTTATGCAATGCTTATTGCAAGCATCGTGTGCCTATTTATAAAATGCATGCCTATATAGAATTGATGAATTGAAGCTAGTTTGCTATTGCTTTAAATTTTGACT